AGGAGCCTCTCAGCATCACACCCCTTCCTCTATAATCTAATCGCCACTGTAAATCTGCGTTAATACAAATACAGCTCTACGGATTAATCTCCTACAGCTACCTCTGAGTAGCCCCTTGGATTCTTCTTTCCTAAAATCTTTAGTTTTAATTTAAACTAAAGGCTATAACCTAGAAAAAAAAAAAATCACATTCCTATAGAGCTGCCGAAGGATTACAAAAATGCCTGCAGAAGTCTGCTGGCCTGACTGCAGGTTTTAGCTGCGAGCAGCTCTGGAGCCTGTGGCTGCAAACACCGCCGGTTTGTCCTGCACATCCCCAGCGCCCAGCACAGGGGCTTCCCGGTGCCGCGGATGGTGAGGGGATGGAGCCCCCCCTCGCTGCCATCCATGGGGGCAGCCTCCCCCAGAAATCATCAGCCTTCAGGAGAGAGGTCAGGGAAACAAAAACGGGGTGGCAGAGAAAGGTTTCATTGGTGATTCCTTGTCTCCTAACAAGAGAATGAAAATAATGGAAGTATTTCTCTTGCACAGCCTGAGCACGTCGGCAGCTCTCCTGCGGGAGCAGGACGCGGGATGCCGCAGCTGACCCAGGCGAGCTGCAAAGGTGGCTTTGCTTTCCTGTACCTCACTCCATGTGCGGCTTAATCCTGCCTGCTAGTGCTGCCCTGGCGCCTTTAACTCCGCAACGCCGGCTCTCAAAAAAGCATCATCCTCGTTAGAGAGTGGCTGATCTCACCGCTCGGCGAGGGAGGGCTTTTCACATGATTATTGCTAACAGGGAAATTGGCATCTCTGCGCCAGACTCTCAACGTCCTAGAGATCCTTCTGGCACCAAATCCACCATGCAAACAGCTCACCAGACCCCTGACCTTGCTCCGGGCAGGGGCTGCCGCGCCGGGGCGGTGGGGGCAGCTGTACCCCTCTGTGGGATCCCCGAGGATGGAGGAAGCGCCGTGCCCTGCTCGGCAGCTCCAAGTGCCCTCCAGCTGAGGAGACGTGCCCTGGGATGTCGTTACCCCACTCCTCCAGCCCCACCTTTGCACCACACACATTATAAGCGTGTTGCTCTCTGCAGACACACTCGCCGGTCCCTAACGCTCTGTGTCTGCCCTGCCTCCCTTCCCTCCAAGCACACAATTATACCCGCACTGCCTTGCATCTCCTGTCCTCGGGGCCCTGGTTGGGCTGACGTGATGTTTCTGCAGGTTGTGGCAAGACACAGTCAAGCTTTGGAAAAGCAGACTTGATGAGTCCTAAAAAAGCGGCCTGACTTATCAAAAATGCCGAGCATCCAGGCGTACAAACTCGATGCAATTACTTTTGCAAATATCTTAGCACATATGTATAAATAGCAATCTATGTTTTGAATAGATTATTGAGCGAGATACATAACACTCTTGGTGATTAATGCAATAAAAGGAATTTGGAAGAGTTTCCCCATAGGAATGAGAGAGGCAACCTGTGGGCTGTGCTCCTCTAGGCGATGGGAGGAAGAGTTTGGGGCTTTGGAGCCCTCCTCGGATGAATGACTGGACACTGCCCCCAGTTCCCAGGTCAGCTGGTGACCACCCCTCCCTTCAGCCCCTCGGGAATCTCATCATACAGAGGGTTAGAAACACTGCAGGAACTATTTTCTGCAGGCTGAATCATTTCTGTACAAATTAGCCTCCAAGCAGAGGCAGCTGTGGATGTCACAGGCTCAGCAGCACACCCACACCTGAAGAAACACAGGACGATTTTGACCGTAAAAAAAAAATAATTCCGTAAGAACAATTGTGCAGCACAGCATTCAACACGCATAACCCCCCCAAGGCAGAAGTCCCACCGTGCAAAGTCTTGTTTGGGATTGCAGGTGTTGCAGGTATTCGGGATCGCTACCCAAAATTAGATGTGATGCCAGGCTGGGTCAGAGCTCAGGGCCAGTACAGGCAGCCGGATCGATGTTGCAGTGCCATCGCTGCTGCAGGGACCTACAAAAGCACGGTTAGTGCTATCAAGGGTGGTGCTGGGCAGATGATACTCGTTGTCCTGTCCAGGCTGCAGATGTGCGCCTGGAATCGCGCACCGCTGCTGCCCGCGCCAGGGAAGGAGCCAGTGCCAGGGAGCACGGGTGGGCACCGAAGCTCAGCAGAGGTGGTACAGCAGCATCGCCGGGAGGTTCCCACCAGCAGACTCTTGTGTGATCCCTGTGCGCAGGAGCTGGCAGTGCCCAGGGCTGGGTCAGCACCCCAATTCAGAAGGTGCTGAGCATCCCGGACACAGGCTGTTCTGTGCCTGCCAGGCTCCCAGCGGTGCACCATGTCTTCAGGTGCCTGGGCACCTCCCAGGGATGAGGACCGGCTTGCGAAGGAGATAGATAGCTGATGACTATCAGCCCAGCTGCCTCCATGGACAAGGAAAAGAGAGAACATGAAAGCAGTGGCAGAGCTCACGCTGTCCTGCAAGCACAAATGGCCTTGCACTCCCCAACACGCCGACTGCAAGGGACCACAGTCCTCCAGCAACTGCCAAATCACACCAAAAATCCCATACAGAAGCTGAGCAAAGTCAGGAGGTCATTTTTGTGGGAAAAAATATCTACATTCAGTGATTTCTTCATGTGTCATGAGTTCCTCCCAGGTTTACCAAAATATTTACAAGAAAAAAAAAGTAAATATGGGTTTAAAGTGGCAAATTATTTTAGCGCTTTTTTGTAACTGAAACCTTAAAACTGCTTGAATTTGAAACACAAGCATTTTAGAGAAATACTTTGTTCCATGAATCTTTTGTGTGTAAATGCTCCATCAACTTTTAATGCACTTTCTGAGATGCCCTATTCCATTCCTCCTCATCTCCAGCCACTGATCTAGAGGGACGCAGGTGTCTTGTAGGTCCTGTGTCACATCTACCAGCCCCATGTGGATGTCTCAGATGCCCAAGGGCATGTCCTCCGCCTGAGAATGGAGCCATGCCAAGATCTCCACCGTCTGCAGCAGGAGGCTGGATGCACAACTCACATCTAGATCCTTATGGTTTGGTGTCTACCACCCACACCTACCTCACTCCAGCATCAGCCTTGGACAAACAGCCCAGCACAGGTCACGTAGGCTCTGCACACATGTTCAGCCTCTCATGTCTTCAGGGGCGGCCGTTGTCATTTGAGTCTTCGAGCACAGCCCCAAGCAGAGGCATTTCACAGCAGCACGATCCTGAAGCATCAGTGGCAGTTTTAACCACCGGGGAAGTCTGCAAAGTCTTGACTTGGTGCAGCTGACACTCTCCTCGGGTCATGGCTGGGGACCCCAACGAACCTGTGATCATCACCCCGGGTTAAACGACATCCCTGTGGCCGAGGGGAGAGGGTGGGGGTGAAGCTTTTGTCCATCAGAAAACAGAGGACATGACCACGATCAGCTTGTCACTTGCTGCCAGAGGCTAACGCTGTCATTGGGAATTAGCTTTGTCCCAGCGGGTCAGACGAAGCACGGCCGCTGGCACCTGCATGGTCACACATGGGGTCTGTCATGAGAGAGGAGCATTTTCCAGCCACAGTCTACTGAGCATCAAGCCCATGTCCCCAGGACCCATCCTCCAATCACATCCAGAAAGGTGAAAAAAAAAAGGTGTGGGGAGAAAGAAGGAACAAGACACAAAATAGCAAGGAAAGATAGGACACAAAAACTCTGAGTTTGGCGTAAGAAGAATAGCTGAAGAACCATAAAAGGGGCAGGTGGAGGAGAAAGTGAAAGAAACAGGTAGAAAACATCTCACTGGACGTATTGTAAGGGAAAGGTGCTGGGAGAGAAAATGTTTGCAGAAGAAATGAGTGGGAAACCCAGAGCGGGAAGAAGGAGACTCGGGGCTTGGGTGGCAGGGCAGAGGGGACGGGTGAGGAGCAGGAAGGGAGGGATGTGATGGGACTGGTGGAAAAATGGACAGAGGGGCCAAAGGAAAGGGGCTGGGCTGATCCGGACCTTGTTCACACCAGGCAGGTTGGGAGAAGGGAAGAAGGTCCAGAGGAGCACAGCCAGCCCCAGCTGCTCCATCTCCCCTGCGGCAGCAGCAGGGTTTGAGACATTATGGGCAGGTCTGCAGCGGCAAACCTCGACTGCCCAAAGCTCCCCATCAGTTATCACAGTCTGCGTGAAGAGCATTACGGCCGCATATGGCACAACCCCGTTCACAGCCTCAGACTCACACACAGCAAAGCAAAGGGGACAAGACTTGCAAAGGCACTCAGCTCTGGTCCTGAGGAGGGGTCTGGAGAAGGTGCCTTAATCCCTGGCCCCATGTGTGACTGAGCAAAGCACAAAGGGGTTAGGATTTGCTAATGGGAGAAGCTCTGAACTGGTGCACAAAACTAAAAACTTCTGTGCAACGATAGGTGGGTAAAAACCAATTGTGAACATACTCGGGATGAAAATCTGACTTACAGCCACTGCTGATGGTTACCATAACCCTCATGAACTTCATGCCTGTAGTAGAAGCAGTGGCAGCAATGACAGACTGACGTTCAAAACAGCATTTGCTCAGTTGAGGAAAGGCTGATGCCCACAGTGACAGGAATTAGATGGCTCAGATGCTCCCTGCCTCTCTTCTGTTGGGCCAGATTTTTTAAAAAAAAAACCTACATCTGTGCCATTGTTTGATTTGGAGTGCAAATGGGAGCCAAGCTAATTTGTCATCTGGTCTTCAGCATCTCTGGATCTCAGTTCCTAACCTGTAAAAAAGCATATTTTTTCCCTCTCTGGTGCCTTTTCTTGGCATGTCTTTCCCTGCATACACACCTGGATCACAGACTCTGTCTGTGAAGGGTATCACCACATTCAGGTAGGTCCTCCTGCCTATTGCTTTTGAATGCAGGAAATCCTTGCAGCCAAGAGGAAATTAATTCTCATAGATGGAAGAATGTTACAGCACACAACTTCTTAATGTGCTTCCTGCTGCTTTATTGCGTGATGAGATTGAAATACAGCCATCACCAAATGAGGTACTATAACCGGTTCATTTGGACAAACCAGTTATGGTATCCTGTTTGATGATGGTGCTCTTGCCAGTATCTCCACTGCTGCACTGACATCTCCTTCTGCATCAATCAGTGCCTGCAAGTTTGCACTTTGGTCCTGGAAGCCCATGGCACTGAGTTGCTCCATTTGTCTCTTAAATCTGCTCTGTGGCACCTCCTCGTCCATCTCCATCTGACCTTCTGTTTCATCCTCGTCTGATGCCAAAATTTCATCATCCTCAGACTCACTGCTTTCTGTTGAGTCATCCATGCTTTCCAGATCCAGCTCCACATATGAGTCCTCCAAACTAAGCATAAAATCTGGTACTTCTGTTGAGAGGGTCTGTAAACCCAGCTGGATCTGTAGCAATGCCTGCAGTGCTCTGGGGTTTCTCAGCAAGGATGAAATCTCAGCGCTCTCCATCTCCGGTGGCAGCTGCTGTGCCCATTGATCTTGAGGTGGAGAATTTCCATCGCTTGATATATGAGTGCTGTTCAGCAGCGTTTGTGCTGGGCTGTTGGGGTTTGTTAACACACTCTCCAGGTTGTGCATGAGTTCTGGGTTTCCTGTCAGCTGCTGAACCATTCTCTGAACCTCCCCCGAGTTGGGTACCACCGCACCTGCTGCAGGACCCAAACTCAGCAAGGTAAAACTGTTGCCTGCAGTGCTGCTGGGAAATTGGTCATCATAGTCATCTGCATTATCAGTGACTCTGTTGGATCGTGGAGCCCAAGGGTTGGGTAGTGGCCTGCGATTTTCGGTACGGTCTGGTAGCCTGGCTCCACTCAGGGGCGGGTTACTGTCCAAGGAAGCAAACGGGTTGTTGCCCAGCTGTGCCTGCACAGTGTCCAAGACAGGCTCCTCAACTTCCCCGTACAGCTGCTCCAGAGCTCTGTACCCACCAGGGATGCTTTCAAGGTTGTTAACGGCCACATCACAGTTCCTTATCATGTCTTGCATTATGGTGGGACTGCTGGAGGCCTCTAATATTTCTCTGATAGTATGTGGGTTGGTGAGAATCTGACGGATCTCTGGATTTTCTTCAGCTAGCTGTTGCATCTGAGGGTTGGACATGATGAGATCCCTGACAAGATCACCATTGTCAAGGATGTTCTGCACAAAGGTACGCTGCACCCTCTCGCTTATCAGGCACACATCTTGTTCTTGAATGCTACTCACCAAGTCCAACATGTCTGTTGAGTCCAGGCCTAGGAGATGTACACCTGTCACCCCAAGGAGGAATCCTAGCAAAAATGCATTGTTGTTGATGGTGTTCAGATCAAGGCCTGAACTGATGATCCTATACAAAAGGTTTTCCATGGTCTCAGCCACTATTTCCTGGCTGGAGGTCAGCACCTCAGGCAAGTTATGATGGATCGAGCATGGATTTTGCAGATCAGCTATACTTCCAAAGTAGAATAAGTTGGAATTACTGTGGCTGGGAGGTCTCATGAGAGTGGTTGCTCTTCCTTGATCTGCCAGGCCGTCCTGTGGTTTCTTTTGGGACCTGATGACCACGTGGATGTTGACCCCACTGTGAACTCCATGCTCATTCAAAGTGTCTTGATCCTTGAGGACTTTCCCAGCAAATATCAGGACCAGCAGATCAGGAGGTGTTTTGAAACGTTTGGCAACTTCTTCCTTAAACTCCTGGATGGTGCTGCTCTGCGCAACCTCAAACTGCTCCTTCTGCTTGAGGGTCTTCACGGTCACTTTGATGATATCTGAGGAATCCATGGTGACAACAGGTTGACTAGTCTCTGCTGCCTCTTTGCTTTCAGACATGGTGGCTCTGAGACCAGGACCGTCCTTTGGTCTGTTGAAAAGCAGAGGTGCTGGCAGAAGGTGGGAAGCAACAGGGGGCAATGGCTGCCAGATGAAACGGGGCAGTGGCTGTTGTCCGTGCTGCGGTGGCAGCTGCCGGGAGGGACAAGGATCACCACAGCGCAGATGGAACGCACATACCAGGCAGATGTTGCACAGCTGCTCTGCTCGCTCACTACCTGAGCAGTCCCCCCATGGTCCCTGTCCCGCTGTGGCCTCCTGCCCACATAGAATTTCCATGCAGCTGTCCCTGTGCTATGACATCACCACTGACGTCAGAGTGAGCAGCAATGGCCTGGAGAGGGGGCACCTCCCTTGGAGCTGAGCTCAGGCTTCCTCGCCTCCACAGTCCCCAGCCAACCTTGTCCCTGGGGCACAGGGAGGACCACGACACGGGAAAATCCGGGCTCAGGGGGCTCCAGGACCGTTTCCATTTGAGATGACCACCGCACCTGGCCGTTTGCAGGCTGGCATCGCCAGCTCCCAGGCACCCACCCTCTCCGCTCCCAACCTTGCTGCCCCGTTTCAGTGAACGTCCCCTCCTGCCAGGCTTGCTTCAGGGAATGCAAAGCACGCCATGCCCGTCATCAGCCGCTGGGTCCTTTTGTGGTTTTGCTGCCAGCCCTGTGCGCCCGGGGTCAGCCCTCTCCTCTCGCAGGCTCCTAACAGCGCAGTCCCTGTGCCTTCCTGACAGCCCCAGTCTCAGCTGTCTGAGAAGGAAATATCCCCCTGCTTCGGCCCCAGCCCGGGAGCATCCTCACCTTTTCAAACGGGAAACACCAGCACCACAGAGTGCACTGGGAGCTTATCTCAGCTTTATCCCCGAGATCGCCCTGGTGCAGATCTTCCCAGGTAAGCATTGCACAGGCTGTGAAACTGCAATACACTTTGCGCCATCCTTCTGGATGCTGTTTTAGTATCCGTGTTCACAGAGCACACACACCCCACCACCATTAGCAGAACAAATCTCTCCTTCACCCAGCTGAGAAAGCTGATGTTTGTTTCAAAACAAAGTCAAAAGGAGGTACATCTGGTTTAGCATCCCATGTTTTATTTCTTGTGTGGTGCTTGGAAAAAGGTTTTCATGGTCCCCAGGTTGCGGCTCAATTTCTTCATCAGCAAAATTCAAAGACTAACTTTCATGGAGCCAATATAAAACTCCAGGTGCATACCAGAGCAGCAGCTTCATTTATTTAGCATTTTTTCATAGCTTTCAGGTCATTTGACGTTGATATTAATTTTCTAAATTACAAAAGTTTTCTTCTAATCAAAAATCTTCTGATCCATTTGCAGAGTGCTTATTTCATATCTGCTAATCCTGCCACGTGGTAACTCCCCGAAGGACGTGGTATGGTTTCTGTTTCCAGACACCATGCCAAGAGAAGAGCATTTCCAAAGCCCCAGCGCTCTTGTTTGCAATAACAAAGAGTTCCTCTGCAATTATTTCTTTGGAAGGAATACACTGGCACGCACACCCGTGCCAGTGCACCAGTGCCAGATTGGTCTCCCCACCATGATTTGCCCCCCCATCGCTGCCACCGATAACCCTTCTGCCAGCTGGACGCAGCAGCGGTAGCATGGGCACCCATCCCTCTGCTTGGTGACCCTCTCATCTCTGGCTCCAGTTCACTGAGAAGTGATGGAAAAATAGTGCTAAATATAGCAATGGTGGGTTTGATCACTATTGTCTCTGTTGGTTAAGTCTCAGAGCATGGACACGAGAAAAAGGAAAGGTCCTCCTGCTCCGCTGTGGACATCAGTGGGATCTGGGGAAAACTGATGCTTTGGAGCCAACACTGCCATGAGATCTCACAGGCATACCGCAACAAGCAGAGAACCTTTATCGCGTGTGTTGCACCCAAACGCAAGGGCACGGGGACCCACAGCGGGGACCCAGCGCTGAGCAGCGTGTGCTGTTCAGGGCTGCGTGGTGCTCACCTCCCATCCGGAGCACAGGGTGGCAGGGCTCTCCCAGGCACGTAAACGTGTCCTGCCTCACCGGCACGCATATCCTCCTGTTTGCAACACAGCTCCGTGTTAAAACGTGTTTGCCCAGCTCAGCCCTGCTGCACTACCTGGAGCAACCTAGTTGTCTAGCAGTTGGGAGATTCCTTCTAATTTGCAGATTTATTTCTGATGCCTGTATTAGTGTGTGCCTAGGTAGTGCCTCTCCTCTAATGAGTCAGGAGATAAATAATCTGGGATGAAAATCAGAAGGATGAAACTTCCCAACCACTCTAAAAATTCCTTTCCCTTTAAGGAGGGTCATGAACCTGACGAGCTCCAGTTCTTCCTGGAATTTGATTTCTGGAGCTTGTGAGGATTGGAGACCGTCCCAGGAACCGCCTGCAGCATTTACAGCATGGTTAGATGCTGTTGTTCCTCCTCAGACATTGTTCATACAATTTGCCAGACCCAGAGCTGTTGCCTGCAGCATTTGCTGAGTTTCTGGTATCGCCCAGAGCCCACAGACGGAGCATCAACCATGGCATTGACTGGTGTTGCAAACCACGCTCAATCTGTGACCAAGCCTGCAAGGTCTTTGGATTAGAGACCACCACCACCATTCCTGAGTTCTGGGTTTGCTGGAAGAAACTTGGCATCCTCTGTGTGATTCCTTGCTGCTGCGTGTCCTCGGTGGAGAGCGCAGCTGGTGCTGCCTGCTGGGACCTCTGCAGCAGCAGCAGCATCATCCGCTTTGTGCGCGGCTGCACCATCGGCTGGAGGGATGCAGTGACCTGACGGAGCAGGCTGTGGACACCTCCTGCCTCAGCCGTCCCAGCTCCCACCCCAGGGTCCCGGCCGAGTAATGGGGAGCTCTGTCCCAGCAGGCGAGCGGAGCTGCTGGTAACACCACAGTCAGTCAGCAGAGCTGCTGTTGGTACAAACACTGGTGGCACTCGGGGAAAGAGAAGAACGTGATGGTCCCTGGTATTGCTGCAGGAAAGCTGGCATCTGCTGCCCATCTCCTTCAGGGAGCACTTTCTCACCAATGAGTTGTTTACCAACGGTTCGTGTGCTGCACTAGGCGATGCCTCCTGGCACCCGGTGCGCACACACGGCAATGGATTGTCACCTCCTGGGATATCTTCAGGATTGCTCACTGCTCGAAGTTGATGCTGATATCTGCTGGAAGGACAATACAGCAGGACTAAAGCCACTTGGGAGATTTCTAGATGCGTTGATGACAACTTCCTGGCACAGGTGATGAAGGAGCCAAAAGTAAAGGGGCTCTGCTGGACCTGATACTTGGAAACAAGGATGAACTGGTCAGGGATGTGAATGTTGGAGGCAGCCTTGGCCACGGTGACCATGAGATGGTGGAGATCAGGATCCTGGGAGGAGGGAGCAGGGCCTGGTCTCCTCCTGTGGCATCGCCACGAGTGATGGGAAGGGGAACACAGATGGGGCAGGGTGATAGGGAAGAGGTAGGATGGGCACTGTGGCTGCCAACAAGTCTCATCACCAAGCACTAGAGAAGATGATGTATCTGGCCTCAAAGTGCCAGCAGCACCTATCCTTGCTTAGAAGAGCCCTTCCAAAGAGAATGGGCAGGGGCATCTCAGAAATACCGCAATTATCACATTGCAAGCATGCATGTATGTACAGCTGGAAGCCAAAACAGGCGTGCAGACTGCTTCTCGGTCCTCCACCACTCTGGAAGTCAAAGATTTAATTGAGAAAACAACTTTGTACCAAATAACTTCCACTCTCCACATGGGCGCAT